GGCCTCTGTAGTACTTCAGCCCACTGGTGCTCTCCATTCCTGCCACCCCACAACCCCGGCTCCTCCCTCCGAGCCTTTCGCTTCCCCCTCCCAACAATGCTGCCCGCCACTTTGACCTATGTACTCCCTCCCTTCACTCAGAGCCCACCTCAGAGCCACACCCCCGGGGAGCCCCAGGACCAGGCCAAGCTGACCACCCTGCACGCTCGGCCAGCTCTCCTCTTATCATCATCATCACTTACATTCCTCTGTTCAGGGACAGTGACCCACACACACGGCATGGACTAGGTTTCCTGAAACGTGTGTGGGATGGAGGGTCAGGGAAGCCACCCGCTCACATACCACATTCTTCCGCAGCTGCTTTCCTGAGTCCGTGGATGTGGGTGGGGCGTCACCCCACGGCAAGACCATCAGTGAGAGTGAGCTGAGCGCCAGCGCCACTGAGCTGCTGCAGGACTACATGCTGACGGTAGGCCTCTGCCACAGGGGCGCTGGGTTGCTTGAGGGAGGGGGTGCCCTAGGGAGGATGCAGGGAAGGGGAGGAGGAGGAGCAGTGCCTAGCACTGTTGGTCAATTTTGCTGACATCACTGCCTTTTCCCAGGGATAGTCTAGGAGAGCATGAGTCTCCTAGAGTTGGGGGTGCTGTGGCCATCAGGACTGGACTGCGGGCCTGTGCTTGGGTCCTGGGGGAGGGGAGGGAACTGTGGCCTCTGCAAGGCTACATGGCCAGACACTTTTATCCTTCCCATCTTATATAGTTCTGTCATAGAAAACTCAAGTCTTCCTAATCTGCCTGTGTGTAGCCTGAGGGCACAGGCATTGGCCCGGTACCAGGTTGCTAACTTCCACCCTGCCCTGCTGGCTCCTGTCCCTCCCATGCACTCTGTGTTCCAGCTCAGGAGAGTGGAGCTGCCCGGGTGCCTTGGTCTCTTCTGGGTGGGCCCCGTGCCAAGCCTGATAGGATGGGGATACATTGTGGGCATTCTGATGCCCCAGCCTGTGCAGAGGTGAAGCCAGAGACAGCTGGTGCTCTGGCTGGGGTTAGTGGCTGTCACAGGGTGGGCCCGACTGCCGACTCTTGCCCACTGTGCCCAGCCCTGCACCTGGCTCTGCTCTCTTGCAGCTGCGCACCAAGCTGTCGTCGCAGGAGATCCAGCAGTTTGCAGCACTGCTACACGAGTACCGCAATGGGGCCTCTATCCACGAGTTCTGCATCAACCTGCGGCAGCTCTATGGGGACAGCCGCAAGTTCCTGCTGCTTGGTGAGTGGGCCCCGGAAAGAGAGTGGCTTGTCCAGACCTGGCTTGGGGAGGCTGATCCCTCCTGGGAATGTGCACACCGACCCCTCAGTGGGTACAGCAGGGGCTTCATCAGGGATGGGAGATTCGAACCAGAGATGGTCATGAGAGCACAGTCCAGAGATTGGGGAATCTGTTTTGATTAATCAGAAGGGCTTTTCCCAGGGACTGTTGGGGGCCCACCGACAGGCCTTCATTCTCCTGGGAACTCAGGCTGAGCTGGGTGGGTCCTGCCAGGAAGCAGCAGAGATCTCCCAGGAGCAGGGCTGGGAGTGAACACAACCCTGGGATTTAGGAGAAGAGTGCTGGAGGAGCCAGGGAGGCATGGGTTTTGGTGAATGTGTGGGACTTCAAGGCGGAAGGACCAGCGTTTGCCAAGACCCCCCAAAAAGCTCAGCACATTAGGTCAGTGCAGCTAGAGGGCTGTGTGGTCTGAGCAGCAGAGTTGGATGTTGGCCCCACACCTCTCAGGGACGGTGACTTAGCTGTGGGTTCCCTCTGCCGACAATTAGAACACAGCAAGTTGGCAGTAGTTTGTTGCTAGTAGCCAGTTGAAGGCTTCTGGGTCCTGGGCCTGTTTTCCCCGCAAACCAAGGAAGGTGGGTTTGTTACCGTTGTACCGATCTGGCAGTGGCAAGCATGGACTGCCTACCCAGGGCTCCCTGCTCTTAGAAGCGTGAAGGGCTGGAGGCTGGGGCAGCCTGTCTGTACAACAGGTTCCGTCTAAGCAGTGCCCACCCCTTCTGTGCTGCGTCCTGTGTTGCCTCCTGGCGTGGGACTCTGTCTGTCCCTCCACAGCAGGGAGTGGAGATTCTGAGAGACACACTAGGCTTCCCACATAAGAGGGCAGCCCTCTGAGTTGGGGCAGCCACCCAGGCCATGGCAGGGAAACAGTGCACTTTGGCATGAGGCCTGCCTCCGAGGACTGCACCCTTGTTGCTGGGTGCCAGCAGGCGGCTTTGAGGACTGCTCTGGGCCTCAGCTTTCCCCACTGTAAAATGAGGACTTTGTGAGGACTGTTAGAGAATGAGAGGAGACCACAGGTTCTTGGCCTGTGCTGGTGCCTGTAGGCCATGGAGTGTGCCTGTGGCAGAGGCAGTAAGCTGTCAGGGCCAGCAGCAGTGCCTGTCAGAGTTGAGGTTTTAGCCAAACTGTGTGGCCCCAGGAAGCATGATTTCAACCAGGATGCTAGATGCAGTGAGCATGGCACCAGGGTCCCCAAGGCCATGCACCAGGGGCAGCTGTGGCCCTGTCAGGGGGCTTTGAGCCCTGAGAGAAGAGCTAAGTGGGTTGAGCCGAACTGGAGGTGCCATGCTTGGTGTTGTGTGTCTGCAGGTCTGAGGCCCTTCATCCCTGAGAAGGACAGTCAGCACTTCGAGAACTTCCTGGAGACCATTGGCGTGAAGGATGGCCGCGGCATCATCACCGACAGCTTTGGCAGGCACCGGCGGGCCCTGAGCACCACATCCAGTTCCACCACCAACGGGAACAGGGCCACGGGCAGCTCTGATGACCGGTCAGCGCCCTCAGAGGGGGATGAGTGGGACCGCATGATCTCAGACATCAGCAGTGACATTGAGGCGCTGGGCTGCAGCATGGACCAGGACTCAGCATGATGGGCAGTGGATCGGGGGGCACCCACACCTTCTGCACAGTCATCGTAGGCCTTCCCAGAAGGAGCTGCCCAGACCTGCGTGTCAGCCCTTGGTTGGGGCCAGGGAGAGGCTCCAGGCGCAGGTGGCCCTGGGTGGCCCAGGTCCTCTACTGTGAAGGAGCAGGGAGCTGCTGAGGGACACGAGCCCCAGTGCGGGGTGGAAGGCTCTTTGCCTTGTCCACCAGGGCTCAGCCAAGCCTTGCAGCGTGTCCCTGCTCGGGGAGGGCCTGGTCGAGCTGGCAGGGAGAGCCAGTCCTGTCGGCTGGGCCCTTGGACAGCTGTCAGTTTTGCACATGATGTTCCTATTGTAACTCTCAGAGACCTAAAAAAGTTTACTGCAATGTGAATAATTTAATCTCTGGTTGCCAAGCATGTTTCTGATCCAGTTGGGTGAAAGCCATCGGTGCCAGGAGGGGTGTCTGCTCTGGTCTCTGTCCCTGGGTCCCCGTCTGCCCTGCGGCACCTGGGACTCAGGTGGAGGTGGAGGAGGCAGCAGGCTTTTGTGCCACAGGAAGGACTTGATTTGGACTTGAGCAGCGTGGATGTGGGGCAGGAGCGAGTGTTCTGAGGCCTTTCGTGGGCAGCAGGGGTAGCATGTGGCGTGTGTTTGGGAGCACCTTGGTCTTGACACCCTGTGCACTGAATCCTTCAAGGTCACTGGCTGTGCCCCACACTGCCCCCGCTCCCGTCCCCCTTCCCCCCTTCTCCTCCCCAGCTGTGCTGCAGGTGTTTTCCTCAAGCAGCCTGCACTACACCATGGAACAGAAATGCTATCTGAGATCTGGTCACCTTGGAGCCCGGGGGCTGGGTCTTCAGAGGCCAGTGTGCAACTCTGCCGACTCTCCCTGTGCCCTCATTGTGGTCCTGTCTCCATCCCTGTCCCATGAGCTCTGTTGGCCTTGGTCTTGCCTATACCCTTTGGGCCCTTGCACACCTTCCTTGGATATGGGAAGGGGAGGAGAGGTGACCTGGGTCAGGTTGTCCTGGGCCTCTCCCTCCACTGGAGAGCAGCCACACCCCTACTGAGACCCCCAAGGGGATAGACATCTGGGAAGGAGATTAGCTGTCATATCTCCCTCCTGCCCAGGTGGGGGGCCTGGCCTTGCTGGCTAGAGGGGCTGCATGTCAGGCCCCAGGGCTTCTCTGGCCCAGGCTCGGGGGAGCAGGGAGAGCCTCTGGGGCTCCATGGACGCCCTGATTGTGTCCAGGCCAAGCCAGAGGATCCGGAGTATCTCAGGCACCTTCCTGAAAAAGGTGGATGGGTTTTTGCGGTATCACAGCTTCTGGACAGGAAGGGGTGTGGTCAGTGTTTTTGTTTGTTTTGTTTTTCTCAAGACGGAGTCTCACTCTGTTGCCCAGGCTGGAGTGCAGTGGCATGGTTTTGGCTCACTGCAACCTCCACCTCCTGGGTTCAAGAGATTCTCCTGCCTCAGCCTCCTGAGTAACTGGGACTACAGGTGCCTGCCACCACGCCTGGCTAATTTTTATATTTTTAGTAGAGACAGGGTTTCACCATATTGGCCAGGCTGGTCTCGAACTCCTGACTTTGTGATCTACCTGCCTCCCAAAGTGTTGGGATTACAGGCACAAGCCACCGTGGCCAGCCCTGGTCAGCGTTTTATGGGTGAGTTTTCCCACTGTACTGTGCTGTTGTAGAGCTGCTTACTCATGGGACCCCAGGCCAGGGCAGGTGGCGGGCTCTTTACTGTTGACACTGTCTCTAAGTTTCTATGAAAATGGACATTCCCTGGAAGCATCAGGAGAGGCTGAGGATGAACCACACAGTCTCCTGGGCTCTTGCCCCCTACCAGAGCCCACCCTGTGCCAGAAGGGTCATGTCCCCCGTCCACCCCACTGGTTGAACATGGCCTTGCGTGGGCCTTCTGTGTGGAGTGTCAAAGGAACCACATGCCTGCCTCTCCAAGGTCCATCCCAGATGTGACCCTCATGCTGCAGTCACTGGTCTTTGCTAGTAGAAAGAGGACATGGAGCAGATGAAGGGACACCAGAGGGTAATGAGGGGACACCAGAGAGTAATGAAGGGACATCAGAGGGCAGTGAGGGGAAACCAGGGAGTAATGGACATCAGGGAGTGATGAAGGGACACCAGAGGGTGATGAGGGACACCAGAGAGTGATGAGGGAACACCAGAGGGCTGTGACGGGACACCAGAAGGTGATAAGGGGACATCAGAGTAATGAGGGGCACCAGAGGGCAGTGAGGGGGCATCAGAGGGTGATGAGGGGACACCAGAGAGTACTGAGGGGACATCAAAGGGTGGTGAAGGGACACCAGAGAGTATGCAGGGGACACCAGAGGGCAGTGAGGGGACACCAGAGAGTATGCAGGGGACACCAGAGGGCAGTGAGGGGACACCAGAGGGCGATGAGGGGACACCAGAGGGCAGTGAGGGGACACCACAGAGTAATGGGACACCTGAGGGCAGTGAGGTGACACCAGAGAGTGATGAGGGGACACCAGAGAGTGATGGGACATCAGAGGGCAGTGAGGGGACACCACAGAGTAATGAGGGGACACCAGAGAGTGAGGGGACACCAGAGAGTATTGAGGGGACACCAGAGGGCGATGAGGGGACACCAGGGAGTAATGGGACATCAGAGGGCAGTGAGGGGACACCAGAGAGTAATGAGGGGACATCAGAGGGCAGTGAGGGGACACCAGAAGGTGGTGAGGAGACACCAGAGGGTGATGAGGGGACACCAGGGACATCAGAGGGTGATGAGGGGACACCAGGGAGTAATGGGACATCAGAGGGTGATGAGGGGACACCAGAGGGCTGTGAATGGGACACCAGAAGGTGATAAGGGGACATCAGAGTAATGAGGGGCACCAGAGGGCAGTGAGGGGACACCAGGGAGTAATGAGGGGATACCAGGGAGTGATGAGGGGACACCACAGAGTAATGAGGGGACACCAGAGGGCAGTGAGGGGACACCAGAAGGTGATGAGGGGACACCAGAGGGCGGTGAATGGACACCAGAGAGTAATGAGGGGACACCAGAGGGCAAGGAAGGAACACCACAGAGTATTGAGGAGACACCAGAGAGTATTGAGGGAACACCAGAGGGTGATGAGGTGACACCAGAGAGTGATGAGGGGACACCAGAGAGTGATGAGGGGACACCAGAGGGCGATGAGGGGACACCAGAGAGTAATGGGACATCAGAGGGCAGTGAGGGGACACCAGAGGGTGATGAGGGGACACCAAGAGTAATGAGGAGACATCAGAGGGTGGTGAGGGGACACCAGAGAGTAATGAGGGGACATCAGAGGGCCGTGAGGGGACACCAGAGGGCGGTGAGTGGACACCAGAGAGGAATGAGGGGACACCAGAGGGCAGTGAAGGGACATCAGAGGGTGGTGAGTGGACACCAGAGAGTAGTGAAGGGACACCAGAAGGTGGTGAGGGAACACTAGAGGGAAGTGGGGGACACCAGAGGGTGATGAGGGGACATCAGAGGGTGATGAGGGGGCACCAGAGGGTGAAGGGACACCAGAGGGAAGTGAAGGGATGCCAGATGGTGATGATGGGACTCCAGAGGGCGAGGAGACACCAGAGGGCAATGGAGGGACACCGATTTATTGAGTAGCAGAGCTGAGGGAAGGCGTAGGATGGCTCCAGCTTCCGGTCAGTGGCTACATGGTCAGTTCCTGCAGAAAGAGACAGTCATGTTGGGGGAAGCATCCCCCAATAGAGCCAACATCAGGACCCCTCAAGGCCCTTGGGGACAGCTTGGGGGCAGGGAAAGGGGCCAGTTCTCACCATGATGGCGTTGACAATGTCACTGTGGTTGTCTCTCAGAGCCCGCACGGCCTTGGCCCTGGACACATTGGCCTGCGCCATCACCAGCTCAATGTCACGCAGTTCCAGCCCCGCCTCGTCCACCTAGGGTTGGGAGAGCAGGGAAGTGGCTGGAGCTGCTTGAGATCCCTGGGGCAGAGCCCCTGTGTAGCGCCTCCCACAACCCCCAAGAGGTCCTGGAGCCCCTGCACCTCACCTCTTCCTCCTCCTCCTCTTCCTCTTCCTTGCACTCCAGCCTCATCCGGGGCCTGGGTGCTGACTCAGGGACCAAGGCCGAGGGCTCTGAGGGCACCTTAAACTTCTCAGCTGCAGCTTTGTGCACTTGCTGGGACAGGTCCTCAATCTGCAACACGGAAGACGGCTGGGTCAGTAGAGCCTGTGACCCCCCTTGTCCCCCGTCCCTCGGACCCCCCAGTCCACCACAGCCTCCACCCAGACCTTGGCCTCGCCAAAGACCACATAAGTGTCTGAGGCTGGGCTCTTGAAGACATCAGGCTTGGCGATGACGAAGAGGATGTTCTTGGACTTCTGGATGGTGATCCTGGTGACTCCCTGAATCTGCCGCAAGCCCAGCTTTGACATTGCCTGGGAGTAGAGGGCAGAGGGGGGCTCAGACCTGGTGTTGACCCACGTCGGGGGAGGAGAGCAGCACAGTGCCCAGGAAGGCAAAGTCTCCACCGTCAACTTCCCCAAGACCTTGGGCTGGTGGTTGGTCCCTCCCCATGAGCCTCAGTCTACAAGGGCCCTCTCATGACATTCCAGCCTCAGCTGTTTAGGGGAAGGTGTGTGGGTTACTGGCATGGATCCAAAGGCCCCCTGATGGATGGGATTTCATTAGCCATGGAGTGTGAGGGTCTTGGTAAGGATGTTCCCCACACAGATGGTCCCAGGCCTGAGGTCCCAGGGGAAGCCACCAGCCCACCTTTCGGGCCTTCTTCTCACTGCGACTCTGCTTGGCTTTGGCGATGGTCTCCTCACTGCTGCCTGCTGGGGCCTGGGAAAAGGTGAGGGCTGAGCATCCATGGGTGGGATGTGGGGCCCTCCCAGAGGCCCACCCTCTTCCCTGGACTGGGCACCTGGGCTGGACACTGTGCAGTCTGAGGAACCAAGATGTCCTGCTCGTCCAGCTCGGCTGACGACTCCCCGTGGCTATCCGAATGCTGACCCGAGCCCAGGGCCCGAGGCGAGTCTGGGGAAGGGGAGAGGTGTGAGGATGGTCTTTTGCTTCTAGGTGGTGGGGAAGGGGGTTCAGGACCCTGGCCCTGCTGCCACATCAGGGCCAGAAGAAGCAGGACCAGCTCCCCATGGTGGCTGTGGGGTCTGGGCCCCCCACCCCACCACCTCAGGGGCCCTCCAGCCCAGGACAGCTCTAAGGAAGAGTCCAGTTGACCCAAGCCCCAGGGCACTTCAATCCTACCCTCCCCCTTACCTTCCTCCAGGCTGTCCTCATCCTCTTGCTGCTCGGGGGCCGAGAGCCCTTGAGGGCCAGCTGGGCTCTGGGGCCCAGAGGGAGGAGGCACTTGGCAAGGCGGCGAGATCTGCAAGGCCAGGTCTTTGGCATCCATGGAGGCCACCTTGGGGCTGAGGAGCGGGGAGTGAGGCAAGAGGCTGACTCGCGGCCCAGTCCCCAGAGGCTGTGTGGTTCCTGAGACAGCAGCAGCGGCAGGCTGGGCTCCTGCCTGGGGCGGTGGGAGGCCCAGAGAGCCTGGGGGCTCCTCTTCTTCCACGGAGTCTTTCTGGAGGTCCTGGCACAGACAGGGGGCTGGGGGCTCCAGTGGGGGTAGGGCTGCCCCAGCAAGGGTACCAGGAGCAGAAAGATTAGAGCCCAGGGGCCTGTCCGGGGGTGCGCTGGGCAGACCCTTGCCAAGGTTTCCTGGGGGCTGCAGCAAGAGGGGGCCAAGGACACTGGGTGCTTTGTGGGGTCGCTCAACACTGCCCAGACCCAGCACAGGCTCCAGCCGCTGGGAGGTTGGTGTAGACATCGGGGCAGGCGCATCAGGGCAGCTTCCCAGCACAGGCTCCGGCTGCTGGGAGGTTGGTGTGGAGCATCGGGGCAGAAGAGCATCAGGGCAGCTTCCCAGCACAGGCTCCGGCTGCTGGGGGAGGGGTTGGTGTAGACATCGGGGCAGGCGCATCAGGGCAGCTTCCCAGCACAGGCTCCGGCTGCTGGGAGGTTGGTGTGGACATCGGGGCAGGCGCATCAGGGCAGCTTCCCAGCACAGGCTCCGGCTGCTGGGAGGTTGGTGTAGACATCGGGCCCAGGCGCATCCAGGGCAGCTTCCAGCACAGGCTCCGGCTGCTGGGAGGTTAGTGGACATCGGGGCAGGCGCATCAGGGCAGCTTCCCAGCACGAGCTCCGGCTGCTGGGGCGTTGGTGTTGGACATCGGGGCAGGCGCATCGGGCAGCTTCCCAGCACAGGCTCCGGCTGCTGGGAGGTTGGTGCAGATGTGGGGGGCAGGTCGTCAGGGCAGCCTCTGTCCAATCAGGGCAGCTTCCCAGCACAGGCTCCGGCTGCTGGGAGGTTGGTGCAGATGTGGGGGCAGGTGCGTCAGGGCAGCCTCTGTCCAGCCTGGACACAGCCCCTACTGAAGATTCTGGGCAGGAGTCCAGACTGGCCTCTGTGGCCACAGCTGAGGGAAGCGTGGGCTCCAGTGTGGACTTGCCACTCAGGCCTCTTCCTTCCCTGGCTGGGCTCAGGAGCCAGGCCTGGCTGACCTCAGGGCAGGCAGCAGGACGTGCCTCGGGGACCTCCCCTGCACCTCCAAGTGTTGACCCGGGTCCATGTTCCTGTGCCGGTGGCTTGAGGCCTCCTCCCTGCTGGTTCTCAACCTCCAGGGTCTCCTTTTGGGGTGAGTCAGGCTTAGCCCCATCACCTGTGTGCACTAGGGCTTCCAGACATGCTTCCCATCCAGGCCTAGAAACGGCTTCTGCTACTTCCTCCCCAGCACCAGAGGCAGGCTCAGGGAGACAGAGGGCCTCCATGCCCAAAGTCAAATCCGCATCTTCCTGTGTGGCCCAAGGTGTCCCAGCTTCTGCAGCTGGCTGTGGGTCATCCTGTTGGACCTGGTCCAAGGCTGCAGGCTCCGGGACTCTAGAGAGGGCTGCATTCTTCTCCTCAGGTGCTGGCCTGGGGCCTAAGGCCGTACCTACTTCCTGCTGAGCCATGGTGGCCACAGGCTCTGTCCCTGGGGTGCAGCCTGCTTCTGCCTGCAAGGTCTGAGGGGTGGCCACAGCCAGAGGCTCCGGACCTGAGGTGGGGCCTGTGTCTTGCAGAGGCAGAGGTGGTGTCATAGCAGAGTCCTGGGGTAAGGTGGGGTCCTCTTCAGCCTGCTGGGGCACAAGCGCCCATGAGCTCAAGCTGCAGCCCAAAGATGCCGGGGCTGACCCAGAGATCTGTGTCTTGAGGCCAGAGGTGGTGTCACAGCAGGGTCCTGCAGGGTAAGGTGAGGTCCTCTTCAGCCTGCCTGGGGACCATCGTGGCTGCAGCCACGAGCTGAGGCTGACGAAGAGAGATCTGTGTCTTTTGGAGGCAGAGTGGTATCACAGCGGGGTCCTGGGGTAAGGTGGGATTCCTCTTCAGCCTGCTGGGAAGCTGGCGAGGCTGCAGCCACAGGCCGAGGGCTGACGAGAGATCTGCATGTATCTTGCAGAGAGCCAGAAGTGGTGTCACAAGCGCAAGGGTCTCAGGGTCAGTGAGGAGTCTCTTCAGCCTGCCTGGGACAGTTGTGGCTGCAGCCCCGAGCTTGGGGCTGATAGAGAGATCTGCTCTTGTAGGGGCAGAGGTGAAGGTGTCACAGCGGAGGGCAGAGGTGGTGTCACAGCGGGGTCCCGGGGTAAGGTGGGGTCCTCTTCAGCCTGCTGGGGTACAAGTGAGGCTGCAGCCACAGGCTTTGGGCCAGAGGGGAGGTCCAGCCCTCCTTCTTCCTTCAAGTTCTGAGGAGAGTCTGGACACAATGTGAGGCTTGTTTCTTCCTGTAGAGCTGGAAGTTTTTCTGCAGTGACAGACTCTTGGCCTAAGATCTCGCTGATGCCCTCCTGGGAGGGCTGAGGCATTGCCATGGCAGCAGATGCTTGTCCAGTGGTGGAGTCCGCGTTTTCCTCCCCAGCCTGAGGGGTCACCCTGGTAGCCGCCTCCACCTGGAGGCCTGGGGCTACCTGCAGAGTGTGAGGGGTCACAGTGGCAGTGGACTCCTGGCCTAAAGCAAGGCCCTCTTCTGTTACTTCTGAGATCGATTCCTGTCTCTGGGAGAGATGGGCCCCTCTGTCTGAGGTCTGAGGCGCAGCCTCCAGGGCCCAGGACATAGTCCCTTCCTGAACCTGCAGCCCCTTGGCCCCACCTCCGCTCTCCTCCTCTGTCTTCTGGACACTGTCCTGGAGGAGGGTGGCCTGGGCATGGGGCTCCCCGCTGTACAGCCTCTCGTCATCTGCCTCTGCGTAGGAGGCTGAGTCCGAATCAGAGGAGGCTGCAGAGGTGTCGTCTCGGAAGGCAAAGGCCTCATCCATGCCCTCCGTGATGGACAGGTCAGACAGCGACTGCAGGAAGGAGGCGGACGTGCTGTCCTCCTCACCCTCCCCAGCCAGGTCCCCACCTGGGTCGGGATCCGCCACAGCCTCCTCTTCTTCCTCTGGGGATAGCGGTGTCACCTCCACTGCCTCCACCTGGAAGATGAGGCTGCCCTGGAAGGGTAGGAGGGCTGCAGGGATCATCGGGTCATTGGCCAGGAAGTCCAGGTCAAAGAAGTGGCTCTCCTGGCCCCAGGAGGAGCTGCTGTCTGCAGAGAGGCTGGACTCAGAGGAGGGGGGCTCTGGGGTTCCGGCAGGGTGCAGCTCTCGTTCATCCGCCATGGACCCCTGCGGGGACAGGCCCCAGCCTGAGGGGAAGTCCAGCCCTTCAGCTGGAGCCAGCAGGCTGAGGGAACAGGAGGGTGAAGAGGCCCAGCTGTCCCCATCGGCCGTAATGTAGGAACCCGAGGGGGAGGGCGGGGGCGAGTCCAGCAGCTCATCCCACAGCTCAGCCTCTGAGTCCCCCGCATCTCCAAGGGGCCCACAGCCGGGAAGCAGGGCATAGGTGGTCTTGGTGGGGGTGGAGGGAGGTGTAAAGAAGGAATCAGGGTCTGGGGGAGGGGAAGGCACAGAAAGATCACCCTGAGAACACAACTCGGGGGGTGGGTCTGGGCTTGCATGCCCACCCTCCCGGTCCCTGAGCGCTGTCCGGGCAGCCCTGGGTGACAGGAGGGCTTGGCACGTCTCCTCTCCCATCACAATCCGGGGCTCCAGGGTGGCTGGGAGAGGAGCCTCGGTGGACAGAGCCTGGGAAGACAGGCCCTCAGGGAGGAGCATGGGGCTCGGGCCGCCCTCCCCTGGATCTGCCCAGGCTGAGGGTGCCCCACCAGGCCCTGCATCCCAGCTGGCTCCCTCAGGCTGGGGCCGGGCACCCGGCTTGCTGGGCAGGAACGTGAGGGCCAGGTGGCTGGGCCCTGGGGTCAGAGCACAGGGCTCCCGCCGGTCCCCTCCCAGGATGGTGGTGGCAGCAGCTGCATCGCAGGACAGATCTGTGGAGATAGAGAAGATCGTGAGGTGCCCCTGGATGCATCTCCCAGGCAAGGGCCAGGCCTCGGGAGATGAATTTCCGCTGCATAGGGCCCAGAGGAAGGCAGACCCAGGAAGGCAGGAGAAAAAAGAGAAGATGCTGCGCGTGCTGAGTTTGAGGGAGAACTTCCAAGAGTTTTGACAGCAGAGAGCAGCTACTAGCCGTTTCCTAGAGAGGGGTTTTGAGGGAAGTGCTGCTGGGAGTCATGAACAGACCTGCTCAGCGGCTTTCCTCAAGGACAGCTCAGCAAAGAACTAGCATTTCAGCCTCTCTGAGGAGACTGGATTGCAGTTTTCATTCCACAGAATCAGTGTGGTTCAGCTGGGCTCAGCGGGAGGGGCTGGCGGTGGGAATCTGCCAGGCAGCGCCAGCCCCGTCCCATGACCTCCCAATAGATGCGCCACATGAGGCAGGGGGCACCAGCACGACATGCGCAGCTCGAACGTTCCAGGCTTCATGCCTCGCTGTGCCTCCTCTCTCTGCTGTCCTTGCTACCTACACTTCAGGCCAACATATCAGGGTTTCACCAGACCCCTCTGACCCTGCTCCCCTCCTGCAGCCAGGGAGATGGGGAAGCCAGGGGCCACCACACGCAGCCAAGTTTCTGGAGAACAGAGATGAAGTGTCCCTCGGAGGCTTTGTTGGAGCATCTGGCTACAAGAGCAGTGGTGGGCAGGAACGGGGGACTGTGGAGCCCAGCAAGAGCACGGGACAGCTTCAGAGGGCCAACAGCAGCCTCTGGCCGAGTCCTCTCCTTGGTGGCAGCCACCCCATGGGTGACCATCAGTTCCTTCCCGGGTGCTGGGAGTTCCCACCCTGCCCTGTGGGCCTTCTCTGGGTCCCATGGTACACTCCGCCAACCCCCTGGGCAGGCTTCAGTATGAGGAGGCCATGGTACTCAGTAAACGTCTATGCGCTAACACACCTCCAGCTGAGAAAGGAGTCCATGCACATAGGAAGTAGCAGCCATGGGTCGGAAAGGGGACTCAGGAAGATGGAATAAAACCCCTCCGAGGTTGCGGCACACCACACCGCTATGGTTTTCTGCCTCATGGACTCTTACTGGCCTGTATTTTATCACAGGTGAGATCACATTGCACATTCAGTTTTGAGTCTAGCTGTTTTCACCCAACCTAATCTCATAAGCATTTTTCTGTGTGCTCTAAATGCTCATAAGCCTCATTTTAAATGTCTCCATTATGTCCACTCCCTCACTTGGACCTAGGCCAAAGGCACCTCTGTTTGAAGCATCCAATGAAGGCCCTTCAGAGTCCAGGCCAGGTCTTGCCCAGGGTGGGGGAGGGGCGGCACACAGGGACCAGCTCTCTAGGCTGCAGATGCCTGCCCAGTGGCTCCTGCTCTACTGAACTCACTAGTGACCAGGACATCTCCTGCACCTCAGTTTTCTCATCTGCAAAGCAGAGCCAGGATTAGAGGTGAAGCTTAAAGAAGGGGGGCCCTCTTGCCAGGCTGCTCCAGCTCCCCTCAGCAGCATCAGAGTCCTGAGCCCTGAGCCACCAACCAAAACTCGTCCCCCGAGGGCTTTGCTGCTGGGGTAATGGGACAGCCAGGGCGTCCTGAGACAAGGGGTCCTTTGGGTTTCTGCATGCCTGACACTCAACACTAGGAGTGGGCGTGGCTGGTGGGGCATCACTGGGTGCCCTGAAGCTGGGCTCTTGGTTCTGGTCCCTGGTGTGGCCCCCAGGGCAGGGGAACGGCTGAACTGTTGGGATGGAACAGAAATCAAAGGCCAAAGGTTTTTATAACTCATTCAAGGTCACCAAGCAAGCCAGAACAGAGCCAGCACAAGACCCTGGGGCTGGGAAGTCCGGGCCTGCACTCCCTGCCTCCCACCTAGAGCAGAGGCAGCAGCCTATGTCACCCCAAACCAGGCCCCAGGCCCCAGCACTGGTCCCATCTCTGGGTGACTTTTTGTCCACAGCAAGGTGCCCTTGGCCCTACCCACACATGGCTGACCTCCACGCCAGGACTGTGCAGGCTGGGCTCTTTCTAGGCCCTGGTAGACCCCATCAGCCTCCACCAGCATTTGTTGACCCAGCCTAAGGACAGGTGGTCTGCACACCGGGGCCATTGCTAATCAGGCCACCTCCCCCAAGGCCCTTCACTTTCCAGACCCAACTTAGCCTTTCTTCCACAACCTGGCACTCCATCCAGGCTTCCCAGGCTCCAGCCAGTCCTGCTCCTCCCTCCAGAGCCATGACCAGTCGCCAGCCCAGGACAGGCCTGGTGCAGCTGAGGACCATCCCGGTGGTCACCTGATCTTATTGGGGGTATCGGCCGGACACCCCGCCTCCAGAACCCACTGCCTCTGTCCAGAGTGGCCCAGCCCCGGCAGGCTGGCAGCTCGGTGCAGACAACGGGATGCAGCGGGCGGGATGCGAGCCTGGGTCGGAGGCCAAGGGCTTAAGCCCCCATGTCCTTTCTGGCTCGCGGAGGGCACGTCGTGCGCCCCACCTTCCCCGCAGTTCTGGGAGAGGCGGGGGCAGGGTTCAGATGGAGGGAAGGACAGGGCGCGGAAAGGGGAGGGGACTCGAGGAGATGGGGGAGCGGGTGAAAGGTGAGCGATGGAAAGAGAACCCGGGCTGGAGAGGGGAGACGCTGGAGGCAGGGACGGAGTGGCCACGGCCTCACCTGTGCGGGGCCCGGGTCCGTCCGCCTCGGGCAGCAGCAGCTCGGCGCGGGCAGCCTCCCCAGGCATGGCCTGGCCGTGCGCCCGCCCGTCCCTCAGTCCTTCCGACCCTCCGTCAGTCGGTGCCGCCGCCCCGCCGAGCCTGCGCGGCCACCGCCCCTTGGCCAGGCAGTGGGGGCAGTGGGTGACGTCAGGCCGCCCCGCCCGCCTGTCCCCGCGAGTGAGCGTGCGCGGGCTCGCCAGGCACTGCGGAGGGCGTGCGGGGGGTGGGAGGGCTCCCTCCCCGCCCCCGCCCCCGCCCCACCCGGCTTTGGCCTCCCTCTCGCTGTGCGCGGTTTCGAGGGGGAGCGGGGGTGGGCGCCTGCGCCCGGTCCCGCCCTTTCCACAGCATTTACGAGGGAGGGTTTCAGGGCCAATTGGAAGCTGGGTTGTCTCAGGGTGGCATTAGCCCGTGGCCGGGAAGAGGCGGGGACGCCCCTAGAACCCTGGTTGTGGGAGATTGGGGAGGTGGTTGGGATCCTGGAATGCTCAGAGCGCTTTGGGCGGTGGTGGCTGCGCTGACCAAGCAGAAGGTACCGGGCCTGGGGAGGGAGGGGGCCCCGCCCAGCCCGATGCCTCCATCCAAAAGGTGAGCCCTGGAGCTGCAGCTCCGGAGTGATTGGCTGGTCCTGGCAGTCGTCGGTCTCCGTGGCAACCGCCTCCTGTCTCCATGGCAACCAGGGATGGAGCCGGCGAGAGCGCACCACGGAAGGCAGCCCGGATGGGTCGGTCTCCAGGTCTCTTGGCAACTCCGTGATCTGTCCCTTCACCTCCCCTCCACCCCCACACTTCCCTAGGCAGTAGAAGGAAAAGGGAAGAAAGTGTTTCCCTCTATTCCTGGCAGCACCCTCTGCCACACCTCCCAGGAAGAAGCCCACCTCATGAATTTCCTGAAATGCCTCTTGCTTTCACACAGGCTACTGCGCCACCCAGATTCACTGAGCACCCCCCCTCCCCCGTGCCAGGCACCAGGGAGACAGATGAATGAGACATTGTCATCACCCCTGATTGGGGTGGGGGAAATCAGAGTAGCCATTGTCACAGGCAGGGAGGGAAGTTTCAAAATCCTCAGTCTTCTGTGGGTTCTAACTTTGAGCTAATGAAGCCAGGGGCTGCCCTCTGACTCCCCCAGACCTGCCTCAAGGCTCAGTGCTACATACCTGGCTGCCTGCTGGGCATCTCTCCCTGCTGTACCCCAGGAACCAGACACACCACACCATTAGAATATCAACTTTAAACAATCTCTTCCAGAAAACAAAAGAGAAGGGGACACTTCCTAACTCATTTTATAAGGCAAGAAATATCCTGATGTCAAAACTAACAAAGTGTCAATACCCCCCAAGACCTCCAAAACAAAAACTGCAGACCAGTATCTGTCATGAATTCAGGCACAAAAATTCTCAATATTGGCAAATCAAATATAACGATGTATAAAAAAATATACACCATGACCAAGTGGAATTTATTCCAGGTATGCAAGGCTGGTTTGACAGTTGAAAATCAATCAACAATAATCCACAACACCAACAGGCTAAAGAAGAAAAATTATGGTATCAGTTGACACAGAAAATGTGTTTGACACAACCACCATCCTTCATGATTTAAAAAAACACACACACTTTCAGCAAGTTAAAAATAAACTTGATAAAGATCTTATACAAAAAACTTATACAGCTAACATCATACTTAATGGTGAAAGATTGAATGCTTTTTAAGATTGGGAACAAGGCAAGGGTGTCTGCACTCACCACTCTTTTCAATATATTATTGGAATTTCTAACCCTTGCAATTAAGCAAGAAGAAATAAAAGGCAGATTCACTTCCAGAATGAAAGCATGGGGAGTTCTGCTGAGCAGCTCCCCAGTGAAACTGGTAAAAATTATTGTTATTAATTTTAATTTTAATTTTTTTGAGATGGAGTCTCGCTTTTTCACCCAGTCTGTAGTATAGTGGCACGATCTCGGCTCACTGCAACCTCCATCTTCCAGGTTCAAGCAATCCTACTGCCTCAGCCTCCCGAGTAGCTGCGACTACAGGTCCCACCACACCCAGCTAATTTTTGTATTTTAAGTAGAGACGGGGTTTCACCATGTTGGCCAGGCTGGTCTTGAACTCCTGACCTCGTGATCTGCCCACCTTGGCCTCCCAAAGTGTTGGAATTACAGGTGTGAGCCACCACGCCCAGCCTGGTAAAAATTATTTAAAAAAAAAAATAAAGCTGAGTTGAAAGGTCAACAAGCCGGGTGGGGTGACTCATGCCTGTAATCCCAGCACTTTGGGAGGCCAAGAGGGGCGGATCATGAGATCAAGAAATCAAGACCATCTTGGCCAACATGGTGAAACCCAGTTTCTACTAAAAATACAAAAATTAGGTGGGCATGGTGGCACATGCCTATAGTCCTAGCTACTCAGGAGGCTGAGGCAGGAGAATCACTTGAACCTGGGAGGTGGAGGTTGCAGTGAGCCGAGATTGTGCCACTGAACTCCAGCCTGGTGACAGAGTGAGACTCTGTCTCAGAAAAAAAAAAAAGAAAAAAGAAAAAGAAAGCGCCCAATAAAATAAAAATGAAAGACAGAACAAATTAAAGCTTCTGGAAATGGTCTGAAGGGCAAACAGCAAATGAAGAAACATCTATTCAAGGCCGGGTGTGGTGGCTAATGCCTGTAATCCCAGCATTTTGGGAGACCAAGGTGGATGGATCACTTGAGATCAGGAGTTCAAGACCAGCCTGGCCAACATGGTGAAACCCCATCTCTACTAAAAAAAAAAAATAGAAAAATTAGTTGGGTATGATGGTGCATGCCTGTAATCCTACCTACTAGGGAGGCTGAGGCAGGAGAACTGCTTGAACCCCGGAGGCAGAGGTTGGGTGCAGTGAGCCGAGATCCTGCCACTGCACTCCAGCCTGGGTGATGGAGTGAGACTCCATTAAAAAAAAAAAAAAAAAAAAGAAACATCTATGAAAATCTATGAGAATTTAGTAAGAAAGGCAAGTCTGTGGTATTGAATCAAGACAACTCAGTCCAGCAAAGGGAGGTGGACTCCACACCAGATTGGTGTTGCCAAGAACACAGGATTCTCTTCTTCCATCTCCCAGCCAGAGGGCTTTTTTCCTGGGAAGAGGGAATACTTCAGTGTATCTCATCCCTCTCCCAGCTGCCTGTTGTGGAAGTAAGTCCTGAGTGAGTCTGGTCGAGGTGGGGCTCCCTTCTTCCACTTAGCCCCTACTTGTGGAAAGTGGACTATACTTTGGGTGTGGCATGCTGAGAATACCAGGGTCCTGAAATAGCCCTTCTCACGGCTTATGAGGTGACAAGTTCCATGCCAGGAGTGGCTGCTGCCTCCCTTCCACTGACTGCTCAGCTCCTAGAGTGGGAGTGTGACTCAGAAGTTTGCCCCTGAGCTAAGAGATTTTGCCTGGAGGGGAAAGGCAGGTTGTAAAACAGCCCATGATCGCTTCCCATAGGAACTGACCTTACTTGCAAGGGAATACAAGGAAGTTTAAACCCAAGGGTATTCTCAACAGCAGTAGACATTATGGTGAAAAGCAACTGGAAGGGGATTCATGGATCCAATGAAGATACAGCCTAGGTTGGAGGTTGGCTAGTTTGCAGGAGAAAATGGGGTAATAAGACAGCTGGGTGGAGCCCTACTGGGATTAAAGAAAATACAAAACACTGGCCTCTGAAACTGTTCTATCTAAGAGGCCACAATTTGGATTAGTTTGCAGAGGAATTTGTGCCCAGAGTATTATCGAAAACAATAGAGCAAACAGTGAAGTTTAGGAGTGGCAATTAGTGGAGTTTAACAGCTGGGCATGGTTAGGAAAAGAGAGTAGGAGAGCCTTACCAGAACCACTGTCATTCCAGGGTGACTGTGGGCATACACATAGCTGCACCTCCCTGAAGAGGACCATCAGAGGCAGAACATTGTAGGGGAGAGGTAAAGGCTTCACCAAAATAATCCAGCTAGTTACTAAGCAAATAAACAAGCAAACAGCAATACAAGCTCCAGAAGGGAGGGGGTTTGGACCTGTACCCAGAGTTGCTATTGGGTGCTGTTCAATTATTTATTTAATGTTATTAAAATGTCCACGTTCCAACAAAAAATTAGCAAAGAAATGAAAGTATGACTAGTATACCAGAAAAAAAAAAAAAAAATGCAGGAACAGAACCTGCCTGTGTAAGCAGCAGATTTTAACAGAAAAATATTTCAGAATAACCACTACAAATATGTTCATAGAATAAGGGAAAGCATGATTAAAGAAGTAATGGAAGGTATATGATGATATTCCATCAAATAGAGAATATTAGCAAAGAGATATACATTATTTTTTTAATTAAAAAAATTTTTTTGAGACAGGCTCTCACTCTGTTGCCCCGGAGTGCGGTGGCGTGATCATGGCTCATTGCAGCCTCCACCTCTGGGGCTCAGGTGATCTTCCCACTTCAGCCTCCTGAGTAGTTGAGGTATGGGCCACCACACCCAGCTAATTAAAAAATTTTTTTTGTAGAGACGAGACCATGTTGCCCAGGCTGGATATAATTTTTTTAAAAATGCAAATTATGGCGTTGAAAAGTAAAATATCTGAAAGAAAAAATTCACAAGAGGGCTGAACAGTAGATTTCAGTGGGCGAAGAAAGAATTAGTGAACTTGATAGAGATTAGAGATTGACAGAGATTATACAAACTGAATAACAGAAAAAAAGGAAAAATGAACAGAAACTCCAGAGAATGTGAACACTGTTAAGCACACCCACATACACATAATGGGAAAACCAAAAGGAGAGAAAAGAAAAAGGAGAAAGAAAAATATATGAAATAGTAATGACTGAAAACTTCTCAAATTTACTGAAGAACAATAATCTACACATCCAGAAAGTTCAATGAACTAAAAAAGAATATATGGGCCGGGCGCGGTGGCTCACGCCTGTAATCCCAGCACTTTGGGAGGCCGAGGCGGGCGGATCACGAGGTCAGAAGATCGAGACCATCCTGGCTAACACGGTGAAACCCTGTCTCTACTAAAAATACAAAAAACTAGACGGGCGTGGTGGCGGGCGCCTGTAGTCCCAGCTACTCAGGAGGCTGAGGCAGGAGAATGGCTTGAACCCGGGAGGCGGAGCTTGCAGTGAGCCGAGATCCGGCCACTGC